TATAGATTTGGGGTTTTATTCAAATTGTGTCACAATTCTGGGGTTACATTTTTGCATCTTTGGGGAACTGGGGGGATCTGTACCTCTAGATAGACTTCTTCCTGCAAGAAGTATGAGAATTTCAGAAATATCAGTCAGAAGGTGGCTAAATATTTGTAAGTGGAGTTGTGTGTTTTGGGTTGTTAGCTGGCAAGATTTTTCCCTGCAATGCATTTAAGAGATTTATCTTCTTGTTTTTCAAAATGTCAATGAGAAGATATATTTTTCACAAATTATTGAATGAGTAATTGCCAACATACTTCTGCCCATGAGATTGCTCACAAGCTACTCACTAAAATGACTGTTTTGTGTATTTTAGGAATTCACCACTCATAGATTAGTATTTATAGGGGTTGTTGGTCACCCCAATCACCTGACATCTTTTTTTACCCTCGGCTGGCAAACTTACAACCCATCAAAGGCTTCCCTAAGAGCTGCACACAGAGTTCCAGTTCAGGCATTCATATGGATACAGAAATGCATCATTGCATGTGACAGTTTTTCTACAGAATATCATCTAATGAATGTTTGTGGAAAGTGAAGGAATTGCCTCAATTACCATCAAAACAAATAGTTATATTCAAACAAAAGTTCACATTTTTTTTCAACAGTCATCAGTCTTTATGTACCAACCTCCATTGACAGAATACATTTCCAGAATTTATAGATGAATAGAACATTTGTTAAAACTACTCTAAAATTCTTAGTTTAGAACATACTAATTCCAGTTCTATATATTCACAGAAGCCCTAAATATACAGTATTATAAATAGCCATGAATATTACTTAATACCACTTAAAGTGTATCAGAATTTGGGTCCATCTCCCTTGTGCATGCCCCCTTCAAGGGTGTATTTGTTAATCTTAAAACATTCCAAACTCAGCGTCATACCTTCAACTTCCCCACAGGTTTCCCATCGATTTAATCATATTGTGACATCCACACGAGTGGAGGATCCTCCATTAAAATATAGCACAGCTTTCAGAATACTTTCCAAACAACAAAATCCAGTTCACTTTGCTAACTCACTGAAATAAGCAGACTAGCTCCCACGAGTTAAGCAAACAGCATTTGTCCCACAGAATATTTCCCTCAACTATCAGTCTAACAGAAAGCCTCAGAATAGCAAAAAATACCCAAGATATTCTGTTTCCTTATCCAAGATAGCTTGAGGAATAGATACACTCATTTGACAATGTAGACACAACCTTAATAGACTACAATGAATCTTCATGGCTCTGTATCATCACTGATTTGTCTATTAGCATTTTAATTAAAATATTGTCTTTTATTTCAGATTTTGACCTGTAGATTTGTAAAATGTTATAAACAAGAAATTTAAAGGCTTATTAGTCAACAAAATAATTGCCAGAAAGAAACCTATCCTCCTTGGCTAACAGTGTGCCTCCCAGACCACAGCCAACAAATGGTCTGACTCAGTGAGCAGAAGCCTGGTTAACATGCCAGGCCAAATGCAACCAGAGCTTGCATCAGGCTACAGAGAATATTTCAGAACTAAGATGCACCTTGAAAGATTATACTAACACGAAATAATTCTAGTGATCTTCTCAAGAGCCTATAAGGGATCAAAATAATCTGAATGTTCAAATCAAAAACTTTTGACCAAATGCATCCTTTCAGTAGGACCTGCTTTACAGGGTCTCTGTGGATCATGAAAGCAAAATACAAGTCATAAAAAGATACCTGAGAAGGTATTAAGTAATTTATTTTCTGCCCTCAATACCTTGGGGCTTTAGCAAAGGTTTTATAATAAATAATGTCCTTTGTGGTGGCGTTAGAGTTTCTGGGAACAGATTCACAGGGACTATGGTGAATGTGGCACAGGAATAAAAGCAGCAGTGCCTTTCTGGCCTTACTGGTCACTCTCCCAGTGCACATCCTTTCTGCCCTATTACATTACAAAAGAAGCCGGCATTTATTAATTAAAACAAATAATATTTATAGAATCCCTTTCCCTATCCTTGGGAAATACAAATTCAAACACAATCAACTACAATCACAACAGCAAACTATTAAAAAGCCGAAAATAGTAAGCCATTCCAGCGTTCATCAGAATAAAATCTCAGGTATGAGTGAGAGGACAAGGGATTGACAAAGACAAGGAACTGCAGCCTTTGTAAGAAGGATCAACCCTTTCATTTTGTTGCACTCACAATTCACCTGCAAGTCTGCTGGCAACACCTTCTCTGAAACATTAAGTGGTGCCAGGGACACTACTGTTGGCACCTCTTCTCCAGTTTCTCGAAGAACCCTGGCATGGCTGAGGCCAGGACCAAACAGCACTCTCCCAAACAGTTCCTGGGTGAGACCTGAAAGCTACTACGAGCCAGAGACGGTGTTCAAGAAACATTTTGCATATGGCTGTCCTGTCTTGTGAGATCAAAAGAGCTTAGTAGTACGGACACTGGATGTTTTGTGCCAGTTGACCTCAGTGCCAGAGAATGGTCCAGGACGCATATCATTTACTAGCAAGGACACAGCCAGTGATGTAAGCCTTCAAGATACATGGTGCCAGGTCTGAGGAGTCTCTCAGTGAGCTGCCAGTTTCCTTTTCTTGAAGGATTTTAAAGCTATATGCCTAGGGCTTGAAAGAATGCAGGGCAATAGGTGTACGCTGTGGTAACTTTAATCTCCTGGACGGCTTTTGAAAATAACTGTATTCTAGTAGTTCCTTTCTCTGCTGACCTGATAACATCAGCATAGCTCCCAGACTGCAAATGTTTCATGACTTGGCACCACCCAGCCAAGACCCTGTGTATACGACTAGTAAAGACGTTGATACAGTTCTAGGGAAACTGGGGATGGGGTGGTAAGAGAGTTTCAGAAAATGCATTTTCCATGCTCTTGTTGGTGGCCAGAAGTGCTCAAAATTTTACAATTTCCCACCATTACTCTAGCAGACTTCTTCCCCCTCCTCAATAAACTCTTGATGCTGAGAAGAGCTTTTGTCCCTAGAAGGCCTAACAAAATGGAGGTGGCTAGAGGCCATTGCTGAGTGACTCTGGGTACTCTGTTTCTGCCCCACTGACAAAACCAAGGAAAGAAGAGGTAGAAATTCAGATAGGATCGGGGTGAGCTATGTACCACTGGGATTTACTGATTGTCACTGCAAAGGAATCATTAATAAGCAATATATACATTTAAGATATAATTTCCATCCATTGGAGCAAAAAAGCATCCAGACAGGACAATAGGAAATATTTTCCAAGCCTGAAATTTCTCTGATTTTACCCAAGAGCAGAACCTCTGTAAGAGCAAGTAAAAGCATAGAAAAATCACAAGCAAGGCACAAGCCTTCCCTGGCCATGGGGACAGGCCACCATAACCAAGTAAGTGTCCAGTTTCTGAATTTCTAAAACAGTATATGGAAAATATGAAGTTTGATTTACTCGTGATAAAACATGTACAAATTACTGTGCCCATTTGTAGGCACTTTATTTGAATGCTTGCATGACATAAAGAAATACATACTGTGCTTTATTATTAGCTAAGCTCTTTCACACATATATCCAGATGGGTTCCTGTTCCTTATGACTTGTACTCTGCAAGTGTATTTGATAGAAGATGGAAGAGAATGCAACAGTTCATGTTGAAAAGACAAATAAGTCTCCACAAGTAACCATGTTGGTCAAAAATGTGGCACTTTGCTGCTCTACTGGGAGGACAAAGAAAGAAGAGTTACCCATGAACAGTTATCAAAACTATGGCTTTCATGTCCCCTTATGGAGAGACATGGTATGCGTCAGATATCCTACCCAGGTAAGTACCTCTGTATTATAAAGGTTTAGCCATAACACACTATAAATATTATTCTAAAGCAAAGATGGCAGTGGTTGAGTTAGTTCTAACCAGACTAGCGATTTAGGTGATATTTAACCACTGATGATCCTACTCTGGGTTTTCAGAATATCTTTTATTCCTGTGATGCCGCTACTTTTTTCCGAAGTGGGCAAAACTCTGCAGTGAGATCAAAGTGATTATGGGAGACATTCTCAACAACAAGCAGGGGACCAGGAAGGAAACTGCAAGCCAAAGCAGCAAGTATGACTGCCAAATCTTGTAGAGACTGACTAGGGAGTGAGGTAAGGCCTGATAAAGATGGCAGCCAAACTCCATGATGGCCACCACAATGGCATGCAGTATAAAACTAGCAGGCAGCAAGTATGATTTCCATTACCAAGCATCCAAACCTACGTCTAATCTAATAGCATAATAATAAAATAACAAAAACCTATGTTAGGAGTTTTTAAGAAGGAATAGGAAAAAAAAATGAGCTCGTGCCTTCTGACCTTGCTTGTTTTTAGCTTGGTTTCCTATGGCAACAAGGTTTGTGATCATGCTGTGTGTGTGGACGTGTGTGTACATGTGCATGGACAAGACAAAGTGACCATAAGGGTGGTCAGTAACTGCTGAGTGCACTGGTAGTTTGTAGTCAGTCCTGGAACTTAAATACAGGTCTTAATGGTAATTGAGTTCCTGCAAGTTTTGTGGAAACAAGTGGCCAGCAAGACTTGCAGAGACATGTAAACGTTCCAGGTTGGATGCCAAGGTTGCACTGTGACCGCACGCCTTACTAGGCATGGGAGAATCCACACAGGAGAGGGCAGCTATGAATGGCCCAACTGCAGGAAAAGCATCCATTAAAATTTACAGCAATGCATGAAGCAATGCCAGGAAAGCAGCTTTTCAGGTCTGTGTTACTGTACACAAGACATTCAGGAAACATTCCTTTTCCTGTTTTCCCTGGTTAAAGGTACAGGGACATTCCCATTGCTAGTCTTCAGGAACCTGATCCTGATTAACAACAAGGAAACAAGAACTTTCAATTTGGAATTTTTTTAAAGACTGTCAAATGTCAAAAGCCTCATAACTAAAATGTCTTGCAGGACAAGTAAGAATCAAATATTTCATGACCACCTTCTAAAACAAAGGGCCAATAAACATCATAGGCAGCTTAGCTGGGTCCTCTGAAGACTTCTGAGAAAAAAGTGCTGATTCTTGTTGATATTATTAAGTGTCTGCCAGATACATGACAGTTAATTTCTAGTCAGTGTGGTTTGGGAAGACCCACCAGAGCCTTTCCAGTTATCTTTGTACGCAGCCTTCTGACACAACAGGCTGCCTTCTTTCTTCTTCTCTAGAATTTTAAAAAAATGGAGATACACCAAATCACTACTCCAGACAGGACCCCTCAGAAACTAAGATAGTCAGATGGTATCACCAAACTGCACTCATAAAAGAAGTGAAGGAGAATAAATGTGTTTATGCCAATGTCCCCAAACTGGTAACCAGGTGCCTAGGATCAGTCTACCCAAAACTGTGCCTTCTTGTTGAAGCCTTCGTTTTGTTGAAATGTGTTTCATGTAATTGCTACATACCATTTGAAAAAGAGATGTCTGTCCAGGTTTATACTGGAAAGCTGGGGGACCCTGGAGGAAGACCTGGACATCCTGTTTACTAATGCTCTATTTGAATCACAGAACCTAGCAATTCATTTGGGTTAGTTATATTTACAGGACAGAGGAGCAACGCCATTACACAGCAGTTTGAACTGGGAATGATGGCCAGTGTCACTCATTTTAGCAGACAGTCTTCTGTACTGTGAAGTTCTACATGTGAGTAGATTCCCACTTTAAACTAAAAGCCAAAATTGCCATTTGTCATTGCTATGTACTATTCAATAGCTATCGTGTTTAACTCCAAAGAGACTGTTCTCTATGCCTGATGAAATCATCTCTCTATACATTGGCAGATCAATTTGGGATCCTCTGATCTGGAAGTCACTCCAGAGTCATCTGAAAATAGTCTTTTTGGTTTGGTTCCAAGTCAGATGTGAGATGTTAAAATCTTCCCTCTTGATGCCATCAGACAATATATATCTTAGGGCAGAATTTGACTCTCATAGTTTTTCTTAATTTCACAACCGTAAAAGCAGTATTTTTTTAAAAAAACTTAATTACCATTTCCCAGGTAGATATATTTTTCATTTGCAAACATAGCTTCTAAAACACTGATTTTTCTTGCTTCTTTATTTATCATTGACTATATCTTTAGAGCCCTTTTCTTTCATTGCACAGACTTCTGATTACATTATAAATATTCTCCAAGTTGTGAAATAGTCTTTTTAGGTACCTCTATCCTTCTACTTTTACACCATACCCCTCACATCTGAAACTGATACTGATCCCATTAAATTAAATAGGAGCAGTATTAAGAACCAAGCAAGCAGCTTTTTCTTAGGTGTTTTTTAATTTATGGCTGCAGTTTGGAAGGGGTGTGGTAAAGGGGGAAAAAAGGCCAAATTTATCAAAACAAATTTCTTAGTGAAAAAACACAGCAGTCATAACAACATATGTAAAACCCAAAAGGCTGTTAATTTGATAGCATCTTTAAAAAACCTTTTGATCCCCACAAATTTTAGGAACTGATTCCTGTTTTTTCAAATTTGTCAGCCAGGTATCATAAGATGGGAAGATTTTTAGATGTTTGAATGCTACGTAAAATTTAAGTAAATCAGGACCAAAACTTTCAACTATCAGAATGGTTAGATTTGATTAAAATACCAGGTATTTATGTTAACTTTATTAATGGTATCAAATCAGGCAAACAGCTTCATTTGTGTTATGTATCCCAAACAGTCCGTTTTATGAAATATGCTATCATATTACTTGATGATCTTGACAGGCATGTGTAATTAAAAATAAAACTTGGCATCTGTAGCCCTTCCCTATCATCTCCTCCATCCAAGTATCTCCAGGTCCCAAGCCTGCAAACACGTACTTGTTTGAGGAGCCCTGCTGGCTTAGACTACTCACAAAATTAGAATTACTCATACGTACAGAAGTGTTTATAGCCTCAGACCTGAACCCCCAAGCCTGCAAGAAAGACTAACCCATATACTGACTGCTCAAAACAAGATAACTTCAATATAGAGTATTTAGTGTTTTGGGTAATGAAGATAAAATTATAGAGAGGAAATTCTCATTTGAAAGGTAAGATATCTCTAAGGAAAATATTAGTACTATATGTAAAAGTAGAAGATTAGAATCCTACAGAAATTAAAACCTATTTATTATACTGTCCAGAAAAAAAACCAAAAAACCAGGAAGTAAAATATCAAATAAAAAGCAATAATTGGGATGGTCAACAATAAGCGACAAGTAAATAAATTGTTAATCAATAGTTTAAATGGAGGAGAGAATAAAAATCCAGCCTTTCTTCTCAAGAGCAAAATGTTTTTTATATTTTTAACTTCAGAATTTAAGAGAAAAATATGACTGTTACCACGGACTAAATACCAGAAGATGATCAACATTTATCTTTTATATTTGTATTTACTTAATAACAAGTATATTAACAGATGAGAGTGATAAAATGGCTGTATGCTGCTCTGACAATTTTTTTTTCCCTGATCCATGCTTGTTTAACATTTAGTTTCCACTACTACTACAATGGAATTATTTTCCTTCCTATTTGGGGTTACATTCATACTAAGAAAATCATCCCTAACCTGCTTTTTTAGTTATAAATGTGCAGAGGAACTTTTGTTTACACATGACTGAGCCAAAACTTGCTTTCTTTCTGTATCTGAATTGTCCTTATGAAGCCAATAGGCTAGGTCTTGCTTACATGTCATAACAGCAGATTCATGGGACAGGGCACTATGGATTTGACTGTTACCTAAAGATGCAATTAGTTTTTGTTTTACTAGCTGTAGCAGCCATTATGCTTTTTATATATCAGTAGCTCCCTGACTAGCAGTAGAAAGAATAACAGAGTAAAGGTTTAATTTTTTTGTTGTTGTTATTTATTCTCAGTTTCATTATAAATTTGGATAATTTTTTTTTTTTTTAAAGAATGCAAAGGAATAATACAAGGCTAATTTTTAATGCAAGTTTCTGTTCTTGCCACCCAGATAAATCTTTTCATTTACTGGAAACAAGACTGTGGTAAATGTATAAAAAGTGAGTTACATTTGGCCTTGACACACATGGACTTGGAAACTGTATCATACCTAACAGACACACTTATCTTTCATCCCCCTACAAAACATTCACTTGCTTCCATCTTGGACTCTTGAATAAACAAATACAAAGTAAAACTTTCATTACAACTTACTCGTACTAGGCAAACGTACTTCCAAAGCAACTACTAAAAAACATCTTCAAGGTCTCCATTTCAACACTACCTAACTTTGGAATAAATAAAACAACGATGTTAAAATATTCCTTCAAATAAAAAGTCACACCTGCATTTATCATGCATCCAGAACTTTTAATTTCAAAAAGAGCCCCAAGTACTTTTGCTATCTTTTTGATGTTTAACTTTGCTTTTTAGCATATAGTTTGCTTCTTTTTTGTTCATCTTCACTAGACAGATTAGCTCAATCCTTGACACAGCAGGCCCTGAGGCCAGCTGCTGTCTCGGCTGACCAGTATTGGCCACCACAGCTCCAAGGGACTTCTCACATGCTACACACCTGCCTGTTTACAAGACTAAAACCCTCTAAAGTTAAAAACTGCCCAGGACAAAAGATCAGGCTCAAATATATTCCATTTTTCTTTTGATCCAGATTTTCTAACAGGCTGAGCTACTGTTGTGGCAGGGCGGTGGGGCGGACCAGCAGAGCACTGTCTGGTGGCAGAGCCACAGGTGGCCCCAGCAGGATGGTGCATGCCCCCCCTCCTGCTCACTCACCCAGTCTGACATGGTACCACAGCCTCACATGTCTGTTGGTCTAAGAGAGTGGGGGACTGACTGCACGTTTGGGTTTCACCCTAGGCTGATGCTTAGATGACCAAATGCTCCCATTTCATCGCGTTCTACTAGCACAATTTGCATTGCTCAGAATGCCCTTAGATCCAAAATCTTCTATTCACTCTACTGAGTTTCTGTTACTCAAATTCCATACTGTTCAGGGCTGCTAGAAGTGTCAGGGAACAAGCTGACTTGTTTCCTTCTTGCCACCTTTTCCCAAAACTCCGTTAGACCTAACTGTGGTTACCTTTTGGATACCAGAAGCAGTATCTCTTTATTCTTAAGGCTAACAAAGAAATAAGTGCTGGATAGTTTGGGGACCATCTATAAGGTTAGAAAACAATGGCCTAAACTTTCAAACTTGCTTGTCTGAGGTTAGGTTCTTAAACTAGGCAGCATGAAAGGAAGTCAATACAAAAAAAAGCTATAAATCAAAGAACAATTATTTGCTGCAATGCATTACACACAGATACTACAACCATCTATGAAAGAAAACACTAACACTATTTTTAGCTCTGTAATTAAGCAAGTGGACTTGGTTAAGAAAAGGTGGATAATGAAGTTAGCAGGTATTGGCCCATATTTGCTTTACCACTATGGAGTGGGGCAAAAAAGCCCAAAAAATTCTTCTGATGTGTTAGAAGTTAACATTTCAGACATGTGCTCTTAACTTCTCAGTCCCTGTGCCAGAGACCTTACAGTCCGTTTCCAAATAAAAGTCGTGACATAAAGTGATCACCAAAATAATTTTGACCTTCAAGGACAAATTAAAATGGAAAAAACCCAGCAAAAATTAATCTGCCATTTTTCCTGTTGAGGGTTAGATGATGGCTATCCTCTAGATATTTAAAAAAATACTTGTGCATAAAGAGGAGACCACTGCAACACAACTCTTCTCACGTAATACCTCATGGTCATGTGCCTACCTAACACACGCACAAAGCCACTGTAAAACTACACAAAACATGGGTCTTTTTCTACATGATGACACATGAATAAAATTTACACAGCTACACATACACACACACACACACACAGAAATTCTGACAGCTGTAACCCTCAAATAAACCAGGCTACAGAAGGGACTGATCCAATTCCTATTCATTTAAAAAACAGCCCTTAATTTCAGTGGGATTTGGATCAGATTTGGTTAAACTCAGTAAGGACTAGGCAAAAAAAAAACATGTATCAACATGTATGATCAAACACATTTTCAAAGCAACTGTGAAATCCCTCTCCAGCATAGCTCTTTC